CTCTATTAATAAATACAATTTCTAAGTAAATCTGGCATGAGCCAAGTGCTCTGGTCTTAGGAAGACAATGAGCAGATAAACAGGACAAACAACAGACCACAGGGATCCCATTGCTTCACAGTTTGGGCTGAGAATCTCTGAATGATCCAAACTGGAAGGCACTCAGGATTTTAGTCCATTCTTCCAAATTATTTCTTTATGGTCTTTTCCTTCAAACTTTCAAGCAAGTGCTTTCATGCTGCATCCATGCAAAGAAATTTCCTGTAGCTGGCATTAGTTGTACCTCACTAGGAAGCTGGGAGGAGACTTTTGGTGAAGTACTAGAGTTAAGACAGTGTACCAAATTTAGCCCAAGATTATGCAGGGTTTTTTTCTGAAGCCAGTGACAATACAAAACTTTTGGCAAAATATGACCTTTATAAACCAAATTTTCAGGATTTCTTCCTTTCTATTTGATTTATGTGCATATTGTGAAAAAATTACAGAAAAGCATTGTGAGGTCATGATATGAGTTTGTCTCTCATTACAAGAGAAATGATCCCATTGTAAAACCAACACATCTCACAGAAAGAACAAAATTTTGGAAAACAAAATTACATTTTCTAAGTGTCATTACTCATCTACCTTCACTCCTCTATTTTCTTGTTTAAGGTCTTTTAAGTTAATAAAACCTGTAGATTCTGAAAGCAATATTGAGGAGAGAAAAGTGAGATGAGAGTATCTTGAAGAGTAGCCTTTTTCAAAAAAATTCATGCAACCATACTTTTTTCACAGTAATTTTAATAGATAATTATTGCTTTCCTTTGAACAGAAATTTATTTTTTTTAATCATCAGGACTTCATAAAACAGCAATCTCTTCTGTTTCCAGTTCTGTGTTTGTATAGAATAAATGGTGAATGCTGGTGGAAAATATGGAAAATGGTGTGAGCTTGGTGGAGAAAGGTTTATCATCTGTGACCTGTCCCACTTCTAAAACAAACTCAAGTCCATAAAAATTACACATTTCTTCTGGGTATTCACAGGTAGCCACCATTTTGGAAAGATTATCATGTTTTTCATGAATTTAGTTATTGTCATCAGATTTTCTTTAGTCATTAAAGGGTTCAGTCATCTCTCTTTTACACAAAGAATTTTTTATGCAAAATAATCTGTAACTCTTGAAGAGAGCACTGAAAACACTTGCTGCAATCAGTCCCATCACTGTTCCCTAGTGGAGTCTCTCTTAGCACAGGGGCTGGGTTTTCTGTCCTCATTTCCAGTAGTTCAGGCAAGATCTAGTTCATTAGAGGGTCATTTATGTTTTACTTATTCATGAAGGAAGAGCTGAGGCATCATCTTAGATAAAATAAAAAAAGGAATTTTTTTAGAAAATACAGGGTCTATCATGCCCAATATGACTTGGGTTTTGTTGTTTGCTTTCTATTTGTAGGGAGACATCCCTAAAGACTGTTACTGAGTGATTATCTCTTTGTGTTAGGCCAACACTGTAATAAAAGCCCATTTACTGATGCTTAATCTTGAATTGAGACTCCAGTAACTTTTCTTTATGGATCTTTTTTCTGTTCTGACACAAAATTTGCATTCATTATTAGCAATAAAATGAGAGAATACCTTGAAGAAGCACGGTATCTGAGCAGCCATTAATTAATTTTGAGACTTGCCGACAGAAAATTTAATTCTCTAGAACATAAACAAGCAAGAACAAAATCCATGTGCACAACTTTCCCATTGCACAGAAGGATTAACAAGTTATTAATGGACCATCTCAAGTTGTGAGAAACATCCTCATGCTTGCACTCAGCAAGCCATTTCAAGCACTCCAGTAACTTTGGAATAGAAAGTGAAGAAAGTGCAGTATGGATAAAAGCACTCCTAGTGCTTGTGTTCAGATGTAGGAGGGATGATTTCTCATAATCGTGATTAAATTAAATTTGCAGAAGAAGCAGCATGCATTGACCTCGTCAGAGGCCGCGTGTGCGTGAATGCAGCGAGTGGATGCAGTGACGTACTCCTGACCCTGCCTTTGCACACACAGACAAGATGATGTTTTCACATACTCAGCTCTTTGATTTCTTTTCCACTAGCCATAATTAACATTTATTCAAGCAACATTAGGAAGAACATAAATATTTCAAAGAAGCTAATTACAGCATCCAAAACATCCTCCAAGCTATTCGTTTAATGAGGATGTGTTTTGTTCCTGCAATAGTGTAACATTAATTTCATCAAGCTATTAAACAAAACAAAGCCAGATACAATAGAGAAAGACATATTTTTTTCTCCTGTTTACAAGAATGCTTACTTGAATTTCAGTGAGTTCCTTGAATAAAAATGACTGTCATAAACCATGCAAGCTTCCTATAAACTCAGATTCAAGCTTGGTGAACTTGCTCTGTCAAAATTTGCACCAATTTCCGTAGAAATATTATCTTGGTATAATGTATTGTCTGACCTTAGTGCAAATGTACATTTTTGTTAGAAGTTATATTCTTCTTTCTAGTATATTACAAGGAGGACTATAACTATGCCCAAATCAGATTACCTTACCCACGTATCAGGAAATGCAAAACTGCCCTGATGCTCTTAGCAAAAAGGCATAATCAAAAATGAAATGGAGTTCATACTGGGTTGGAAGTACTGGAGGAGGGTAGCCTGTTAGGATTCAGACACTGTAACTCATGGCACAAACAGGATTGAATGTGTAATGGCTACTGCTTTTGCCCATTAGCAGGAGTCTGCTGAAAATAAAATTCACATTTCAGATGAAGGATTTTCAAGCAATACAAATCCAAGCAAGAGAGATTTTTTTTTAAATGGTAAATGGAAGACCAGAAATTTTCTACCTGGAAATTTTTTCTCATAATCTTCAAAATCTGATAGGTTTCTGTGCAAGTGGGCTCAGCAAAATTTTCAGTTTGCAGTAGTAAAACACACTGTGCAAAAATGCAGCTTCTGGGCTAATCAGAACCCTTTCACCTGAAACTAAAGTTTGAGTCAAGATGTATCTTTTTTTCAGTTCTTAAAACACTCTGAACCTTTCAACAGGTGCAGAATATTTACAGGTATCCAGTGCTCAAATCATGATAGACTGTAAATTATTTTATTTCACCATCTATTAAATATTTAACAAGACTGTAATAATTAAAATGCATAACAAATTAAATCTTTCCTTAGGTTAAAGCTTGGGACACTGATTCATGCAGTTGATCAAGATAGATTAGGGAGATACCTTTAATCACTGATGACTCCCCATTTATGATAATTTCTTCAAATAAATGTGTTCTGCTTTTATTAATGAAAAACCAGAACTAAATGCAATCCCTCAATTAAGACTATTTAAAAAAACCCTCTTTTAATTAGGTAGATATAAATACGATCATACATACAAAATATAGGCTTCTTTAGTTTATATACTGGTTTGATAACTGGCTCTCCATTGACATGAGAATTAGTTCTGTCCCCAGACATATAAAGAAAAGCTTTGCTACTGAATCTGATAAAGAAGATGCTTCTATTACTAAAAGAACTCTACAGCATCTTAGCATTCCGCTTGGCAAAGCTTTTGCAAATTTGATGGCCTATCAAAGTGTCCAGGGTGGCAGAGCCCACTTTATTTCACATACATCTGATATAGGTGAATGCAAAGAGCAAACACCAATGCTATGGCTATAAACCAAAATTTTGCTTTGTTTTACAGTAACAGCCACTGCTCTTGTCAGGCAGATTTACTCCACCACATACTATTTAGCCCCCAGTCAAAACCCACTGAAATGGTAAAAAGAACTGCAAGTTGTTTTGGAAAATGACAATCTCTACTACTGTGCTATTGTCACATTCCTTAGGAAAAACGCAACCAAGAGAAAAAAATATGAGTGCATGTAAAAAGAAGGGGAAAAAAAACCATTAAGGCAGACTCTAAACTGGGATCTCCCATGGGAAACCACTTCTGTAGCATCAGAGCAGCACCTCATCTGTGCAGGATCTTCCTGGAGCAAATGGGGAGAAAGCAGAGACAGACAGACATGTGCCATACTTCAAAGTCAGACCTTGCTGCTGGGCTCGGTGTGAGGAGCAGGTCAGCACTAGCCTGAGCATCTTGCTCACTCTTGGTGACCATCACTTGCTGGATCTGACAGCAGGAGGAACGGCAGACTCTGGGTAGCCACTGTGGTAAGCCAGACCTTGTTGTGCTTCAGGAATGGCTGGGCTAAACTGCCCAAGTGCCTTAACAGATCTGGAGTCTGTGTACTTTTGACTGTCATAGAATGTAGTTGCTCTCATTATCTACAGGCATAAATAACAACTGGGACCGAGGTCTGCAGCCGTGTTATAAGTGAAATACCTTGCTAAGCACAGTATTAGCATTTTAATTGCTAAATATTACCCTATCGGTGAGTTCTGTTTCGTGGTGTGGCACTGTGCGTGTATTTAAGGCATAGGAAAAGTCTGGAGGCAGTCACACCTCTGCAGCCGGGAACTATTCAGAAAATTCAGTGACCAGTCGGCGGGTGCCGAGGCAGAGGGGTGTCCATCTGTCCATCCCCAGAGCCACCGACGGCTTCTCCACACGCCAGCTCGAAGAGATTTCCTCCCGCGTTGGGCTAGCTGGGGGCAGATCAGCCAGTGGGTCGCACTGACCCGCTGTACATCACGCCTGTGCTCCCCGGCACACGGGGCTGGGACAGCGTGCGAGCCCCGCTCCTCGGCCGCCCCCGCCTCGGCGCTCGGAGCACCCGCGGCGGTGATAGGCAGCGCTACCGCCGCGCCAGCCGCCGCCGCTCCTGCCGGGCTCCGGGGCACGAAAACGTGGGGGGATTTGTTAAGGAGGGGGTTTAACAAAGGGCCTGGAGCCTGGCCAGCGCCTCGCCTCTGTGCCGAGCAGGGACTCCCCCGCGCCGGGGCGGAGCGGGCTGAGTCACCCGCGGAGCGGGGCAGCCCTCCCGAGCCGGGCTGCGGAGCCCCACGTGTCGGGGGCTTTAAAGAGTTGGGGCAGGGAGCGAGGGCATGCCCAGCAGAGCGGCTGGCAGAGCGGAGCTCGGCGGACATGGGACACCTGTGCCACCAGCAGCGCCCCGCGGGCACCCCCGAGCGCAGCCCGAGGAACGGAGGAGACCCGGGTGCGGCGCTGCCCGGGGCCCCGCTGCTCCTCCTCCTCTTCGTCCTCCTCGCTTCCTCGATTTCTGCTTGCAAAGGTGAGCATGGTCTCGCTCGCAATCCCTGCCCGTCGTGGCGGAGCAGGGTGCCCGCAGCCGGCCAGCCTTGCGGGCTCGGCTGGGCACGGCGCCGGGGTTGGCTCCGGGGGCTCCTTCCCGTATCCCGGCAGGATTACTCTGTCCTGGCAAAACACTCCAGCAACTTGGGAAATAGGCTTTGGTTAAAAGAGATTTCATTTTAAGTGTCATTTACTCTGATTTAAAAAGGTAAGAAAAGACATGACACAACATGTGTCACAAAGTTGCAGGACAGATTAGGATCCTCTGGCAGCCGTTCCAACCTGTAGCAGTATTGATCAGGTGAGGAATCCCGAATGTTGCTATTTTTGTAGCAGGGGGCTCTTGTGAAACATGTCACGGACAGTTTAACGAACCAGGCTCTCTTTTTGACTCTATTTTCCCACCTCAGACAGATTAGCTGCTTACACCTTGTAAAGTAACGTTACAAAATGCTCTGCAAGGACTATTTATATTTTATTTGTATTTTATTTGTGTGATTTGCTCTACTTGTGATGGAGTTTTTCTGCTTTGTTTTGTTTTTTTAATACCAATAACCAAAGAAATCTAATGGTAGCATACTTAATATGTTAAAAATAAGTTCTGAAGATGTGGAAGAGGGGAGGGAAGGAAGAGGAGCACAATGGAGGGCAGTGGCACACAGTATTTCATCACTGTTCTTATACAAATGATTGCCAGGAGCTTGTTTAGGGATGCAGCAGAGGGAAGAGAAGATGTAAGATGTGAGTCCCAGGCTGTGCATATGGCATTCTGCTGCCTTGAAAGAAGTTGCATTTCTTAAAGAGGGCAGAATTGAAGGATAGGAGAGCAAATGTGCTGTGGATGATGTTGATTTTGTAGAATGATTTCCACCTCTGTGTTCCCTTTAAATAGGACTCTTTTCTTCAATAGCACATGCTTCTTTCTTACTCCCTCTCTCTCTCTTCTCTCTCTCCTCTCTTTCTCTCTCTTGCCTTCTTTTTTTTTTTTCCCCCTTTCCCCTATGGTTATTGTGTATATTACAAAAAAACCTTACCATTTCACTGTGTGTGCTGTTGTGGAAATGAATGAAGTCCTGTAGGTACTGCAGCCCTTTTCTGGATGGGGTGATGAAGGAACACTGCTCAGCCCTTGGAGGAACACAGTCCTAGGTGCACAAAACAGATAGGATTGCACATGAATGAAACTTTTCTGAATATGTAGAGAAGGGTAAAGGAAAGTGAGGAGTGGGAAACAATTTCTCCTCTCTGTCCAGAAGTTTATGCTACAGGCCAAAAATAAAGGAGAAAGTTATGATATTCAGGCTTTCCTGCTTGTTGCACTAAGGTTTACTAATGCATGCAAACAAATTTCTTTAGGTCTCCCTGAAAAGCCTTGGGAACCAGTCAATGGCAGAAGCAGTGTTCAGAGATAGGCAGGCACTGCTTTGATGGGGAAGGTGTTCTAATTTGAAATGTTGCCCTGTTCCACTCTTTTAACTAGGATACTAATCCCAGGTGACACCCCAGTTTGAATACACTAATTTAAGAGCAGAAGACAACATAAGACAACTGTAGCAGCTTTAATTTATTTGGCATTTTTCTTTGAAATGAAACAAAAAATTGGAAATCAGTTTCCTTGTAATGTGAACAATTCAAACATATTTTTAAAATCCCACTTCTATAGTGTGAAATTAAGAGCCTGTTTAATTCTTTTTGGGGCAAAGAAAGCATCCATAGTAATTAGTCACTTTAAGTCGGTGCCAGTACAAAAATGTGGTTTTGAAATCCATCCCGTTCCATTAATGCCTGGAAATAACTACTATTGTGATTATTGTTATTAGGAGAAAATGTAAAACAATTAACATGATGGCATTTATTCCCTGCTCTACTGGACATTCTATCCAGGTCTAGAGGTCCAGCACCAGTTTCCCTCCCAAGGGAGTTACAGCACATCCCCTCACTGACACCATTGCGTGGTGTCTGACGCACTCACAATTTGGTGATGCTCATTTCTGCTATTTACAGAGACTCTAACAATGCACTGCTATCAGAAATACACTGCCAGGTAAAATAACAATGTGGTAAGAGGGATATTCTGGACATTGAGCTGGAAGGATGCTGGGACAGTGACTTCCATGCTTGCAGCCTGGGTGGGTAGAGACAGAGAAAGGAGCTACCCCAAGTTAAGCACAGCTTCACTGCATAATTATGCAATTAAGAACACATTTAATCTACTGAGGGACAAGCTTTTCCACATCCCATATGCAAGACAGAGGAAACAAATCCAGTTACAGATGTACTGTCTATCACCTTGTCAAAACAACATGTTCTTATCATGGGCACTATTATACGCAATCTTACATTATGTAGTGCATGTTCAATTCTGCAGCTGTAGCATGCAAGAAGGCAAGAAGTAGAGTCCAGATCCTCAACTCACAGTGCATGCACTGGAGGTGAGCAGAGCTCTCAGAAAACTCGAGGTTGTAGGAACTGGACTGTGATTTTCTGAGCAGGTCTCAGTGAGACCTAAGTAACTTCCACACTGTTTATTGCTCAGACATGTGAGTGTCCATACCTGCTGCGAACTTGTGATAAAGCATCCTGCTGTGTTGCTGAAAGAGAGCAGGGAAAATCTACCAGACAAACCACAGAGCACCCAGGGTCACAGACTTCCTTGGACCAAGCAGCTCTTGGCCTTTGCAGTTAATAGTTGTGCTAGGTATGTCTGACATGGGACACTTACACAAATGACCTTTGCTAGGGTACAGCATTGCTAAGCACAGTTTGTGCTTCCAGGTGCACCAATGCCATCCCAAGCACTCGAGTCAGATGAGGATCTGCAGCTGTTGAGAGAGGTAAGCATCATCTGCCATGTGGTATTCTCCCATTTCCTCTGTGCCCATCCTTGCTACAGTCCCACCTCACTATCCAGGGTTTCTCTTGCACAGAGTTCATCTGTGTTTTCTTCCAGTACATCTTCCTGTATGTCTCCTATACTGGCATCAGCAAAGAGGTGAAATATCTAATTTTCCAGGTAATCTGAACAGTTGCTTCAGGAGGATGTTGGGACTGGGTGCTGAGATGTCATTCTGAGAAGATACTGTCTTGTCTCAATGGAGAGCCATGTTTGAGAACTCTCAATGACCAGGCAGACACTGTCCCCGGAAACATCACAGTGTTTCTCACATCTGGTAGATTTATAGTATATATAGTAGTTTTATAGGCTGTACATGATACTCAGGAATTGTTTCAACTCATACAATCTTGCTTCTTGTGTCCTCTGTTCTGCACACAAGGCTGGGACACTGTTCAATCCTATCCTAGCCTCTCAATTTACTAGTTAAAGAACAGTGTACTGTGTCAATTAGCCCCTCTAACATTTGGCTACTGATTGGTATCATAACTTCCACCCTCATCTCTGAAATGAACGTTTGTTTTGACTCTGGAGTGTGACGCATGTGTTAGCACAGGCTCTTCCCTGCCCTTTTGGAACAGATGGAGTGGCAGGGCATAACATGTGGAGAGGGTTTGTCCTGCAACTTGCATGCCCTGGTGTTGCTGCAACTGTCAACTATTGTGTTGACATTTAATTTAGTAGCTTTTGATAACATTGGAAAATAAGTGACTCATCACAGGGGCAGATGCAGAGAGTAAATTTCTTCTGACTGAGACAATTACAGGAGACATTCTGCTTACTGTCATCTCCCCACAGTTCATATTGGACATAAATTGGACATTGACTCAAAACTTAACCTATTCTAGACTGGCACTTGAATGAGCCCTAGTGATGTTGTTCACCTGGGAAAAAATGGTCTCTTGGGAAGTAAGAACCTGACAGCTATAAGGAATTTTTGAAAATTAGTTATTTACACTCTGGATTTAAAAAGCTGTTTTATACATTTCTGCATGTCTTGATAAGATGTGCTAGCTGTAAGATTTGTCCCTGTGGTGCCTGGAAACCAAGACAAAGGTCCTGTTGATTTTAATGAAGAAAACAGTGTGCATAAGATACTAAATATTGTAAAATTTTGTAATAGAAGCAATATAAAAGTGATCATTAGAACTTGAATTATGCTGGACTGGAAAGGGTCTAAAGAAAGAGAATTATATATATATATATATATATATATATATATATACATATATAATAAATATATATAATATATTATATATAAATATATAATATATAAATATATAATATATAAATATATAATATATAAATATATAATACATATTTATATAATACCCTAAATCAACCTAATTACTCACTCATACTAGGTCACTGGGGTTTCATAAAGTGCAAGTAAGTAATAATTCTTCCCTCTTTGCTACTTTGCTAGTGGATCATTCAGGAGAGACCCTGCCTCTAAATAAACCTAGTATGTTCCAGGAATGGCTCTGAGTTTATAAATATGAGAACTTTGTCACTAAGTATTTTGCTTCATTACTTGTCTCTTACTTCCTTTTGTTTCTTTATGTTAATTAACCAACCCCAAGCAACTTGCAATCTTCTACCCTCAGGCCACATTTCTGAGACAAGAGAGAAAATTTTGGAGAAGAAGCATGAAATATAGAAACTATTAATTTTTAAAAAATAAATTAACAGACATGGTGGCTTTTCCTCAGCCCTTGCTTTGTCTGCAAAGGTTTTAGCTGAAAGATACCATTGTGTTGACCACAAAGCAGTCTCTGGCTTGTTCTGCTACTGAACTGTGGTAGTTCTGTGTGTCAAGTAAATAAACGAGTAAAACCCAAGCACAAACAACCCCCAAAAGGAAATAGCCCTTTCTTTAACATAAGCTTCCAAAATTACTTCAGCTTGATTTTATCTCATTCATTGCTGACTCCTTCCTCTACACTTTCTTTCTCTATACTCTGAAAGTAGTGAAGCTGAGCTAACACACTCAAACACGTGCAAGATGAAGGAAAAAGAGAACAGAGAGGATGTGTTACCAACAAAACCTATTTGAAAAGGGAATCCTGTGAGCTATTAGTTTTTCCACTATATCTGCTGATGCTTTTTCATAGATTGGCTCTGGAGAAATGAATCATCTCTTGTTCCGAAGTGCTCAGATAAGCACTATTTTTTTTTAAATTTCTTTTTTCCTTTAATGTTTTCTTTGCTAATGCATGGTACTTAGGGCTTTTTCTCTATAAAAAATTTGCAAGAACAATTGCATTGCCTGCTCTATCAAAAAAAAAACCCAAAACCACTATGTTTTTAAAAGCCTGTGAACAACATGAGTGGCAAAATTTTTTTATTTTGTCTAACACTAACAAATATTACATGGAAAAAAATAGCATATACTGATTGAGATTACTAGGATACAACTTTGAAGTTACTTAATAAAATTGTAAGTTGCTTTTTGCCATCATTGTTAAACTCTGCAACTTCATTTGCAGTGCTGGAGACTTTTCCTTACACAATACTCCAAGCTTTCAGTGCTGGTAATATTATTTCTCTGACCTCAAATACCTTTTATTCCATTTCTTATTCCTTCTCAATTAATAATTCCAGTAAAAATTAATCAGTATTACATTATTCTTTCATCTTGGAAAAGAGACAGAAGGAGGATGTAATTAATACAAGGTTATGAACCATAGGGAGAGGATGGAAGGTGGATGATGGAGATCATGACAGCATGGAATAAAAACAGCTTTGAAAAGACTGGTAAAGACAAACAGTAGTGGTGCTTCACACAGTGTTTAGGAAACTTCTGGCACAAATTGAGTGGTGTGCATAAGATGTGCCAGCACGTATCATAATGACTCAAGGGATGCATGTGTCATACATCTGCAGGGATGCAGTAATCCAATGAAAGAGTTGTGTTTGAGGATTGATCCTTGAATCCCTTGCCTTAGTTTTGTTATTTTCTTCACAGTTTTGTATAATTCAAAGATATTGCAGAAGAGATTCAAGTTCATAGTTCACGCCCCAGATGCTTACAATTATAACTTAAAATATGACTTAGTCTGAGAAGTTTGCAGTTTGGAGGAGTATGTGCTGGGTACAGAATAAGAGTCACAGATACGTATGTTTGTTCAGATCATACAAATATAAGTTTGTTGATGTTGTTGTTTTCTTTTTTTTTTTTAATATGATTAAGGCCCTTTCCCCCTTTAAATGCAAGGTACTTAATGAATGGACCTATAAGCTTACAGTAGGCAAGCTTGCCATGCCATTAGCTGCACTTACCCTTTTCTGAAAATATGCATATTTCACTCATTTCTATTACTCTGACTTCCTAAAAACACTGTGTGAACTCTTACAGATAGATGATGCATGTTCTGCTTACCTGTCCACAGATTCTCAGCCTCAGGTGAGTCAGACAGAGGTAACTCTACTATTTGGATACTGTTTGTTATATGTAGTAGAATTGGAAGTGTGATACCTGAGTTCCTGTTTTCATTGCATTAGGTATCCAGTACACTGGAAGAACTTTGTTTTTTGATCATGGGATTTCTCCAGAAACCACAGGTAACCCACACAAAAGGCTGCTTAGCATTTTTGGAGCCTGATCTCTTACTGTGCCATTGTCTACAATGAATTCTGAGGACCCAGTATGCAAAGTGTCATTCAGCACTGGAAGTACTTCTATCAGTTTTTACTCTGAAATGCCATGTGCCAGAATGTAACACCTTGTAAAGACAACAGGGATATATCAATGTTTGGAAAATTATCTCCAGGTTGAGTACAAAGTGTTATGTGTTTTTATTGCTCTAGACTAGAAAAACTATGAATTCTCAACAGACAAAGAAATTTACTTAGGAGAGTGAATCTCCTAAGTAAAGGGGATGAACAAGGGAACATCTGCTAAACACATCTAACTCTTCTAGGGCAGAGTAATCAATGCTCTCTACAGAGTCTGAAATTATTAGTTAGATTGATAAGCAAGGCATACAATATATCTGCCAAGGAAGAAGGATATTTCAACCCAGTGCTGAAAAGATTATGTATTTAATCAAAATTATCAATTGTTCTTTTTATTTTAATGAATAAAAGCCTTTCTACCAACTATTATTCCCACAGGGTTTAGATGAGAAAGACAACACCAAAAGGGTAAGATGTCTATATATGTCCTACAATCACACTAAAAAAGGCAAGAAAATCTTAAAACTCTTGCCCTGCTTTGTAGTAAAACCCCACTTTTAATTTTTTTTTAACAGTTCTTATTTCATTACTCTAAGACTCATGACTCGGGGAACTCAGACATCATGGTAAGTGGCATAGCACCTCCTTATGAGTGAGTACATGTGTGACTTGTATGCAAAACCAAGGCAATATTCCTTTTTATAGTAGTCTCTCCAACAGTACAGCAAGCTCAGGACTGGGAGTTGCATGTTTACAGTACAGAAGGGGTTTTAATAATATGGGAGAGGATGATCAGTACTGTAGACTTGTGGAAAAAAAAAATCTCACAAACTCACCCGAACATTCATGGAAACTCAACTGAATCTTAATCTTGCAGTTTCAAATTTTAAGAATGAGAACAAATACTTTTTTTGGGTATTGGAACATAGCACATGCAGAGATACAATGTGGACTTACAGGACCTGAGAACATGACCATAACTATTAGATACTCTTGAAAGCATTTTTATTAATTTTTAATTAAAGTGTCTTAATTCATTTGCGCATATCATAAATATGTAGAGCCAAAGTAGTATTGAAGTCTCACTTGGACTTTGGATTATATTTTGAATGAAAAGTATAGTTTAAACCATGGCCAAGAATTGTTGCTCTAAAAGTATTCTCATAAACCAACAAGTCAAGTACGTGATCCATTCTTGCTTTTGAAATGCAAACATACTCTGTGATCTGTGTGCATCTATGCACCACAGGATTTTGAGAGACTTAAACATATTCATATTTTCTTGTTTCTTAACAATTATTCTTACATGCAAATGTCCATTTTTGCCTTGTTCTTTACATTTCTTCAGAAATATGTTGTGTCTTTCCTAGAAAGTGACATTGCTCATATTGGTGTCAATGTTTTCATGCTACAGCTGCTTTGGAGGCTTTAATGGCAATTAAGGCACAGTGAAATGAGCTATTTCTGCTGCTGGTCCTGCTTAAAAGGTTACTGCATTCCACTGCACCACCATCCTGAGTACCATTGCTGCTGCTCCCAGAGATTACTGCTCTCTCACTTTTGGTTTAGCTGTTCAGATGACAATTTTCTAGCCATTCTCAGAGATACTTTCTTAGGTGAGATCCATCATTCTCATCTTTATAAGCTCTCTCCACTGGCTGCACGACAGAGCCCAAGCGGACAGCTGGGATGTTCATTAACTGCTTCAATCACAGCAGATTCCTACTTTTTTAGGTATTATGATCCCATATTGCTTACCTTAGGCAGATAGCACACAATTGGCTACAAATAAGCAAGTTCTTTTTACCTGTTAAGTACAATAACACTTTGGTAACTCTGGTTATAGTTCTCTTAATTGCATTACTTTTCCAAGCAGTATTGCAGCAAAAATGCATTGTTTTTTAAATTACATTTATATGAGTTGAAGTTTTAAATTGGTTAATGGAACATAGGTTTTTTACACTTTATTTCTTCCTGTGGACGTCTCTCCAGAATCCCACATAGCTGGGTTTTTCCAGGGTGAGTACTTAGGCTGCACACAATGCCACTGTGCATAATTAGGCTGTCTGCAAGCTTAAAGTCTTGTTGAACACAAGGAATTTCATGATCAGAGCTTAGATAGAGTGACCAGTGCCATGGTTACAAATATCCCTTGAAAATGGATTTCTACTGTGCACTGTTCTTTAGCAAAAAATCAATTTTTTTTGTTGCCATTTATTTTGAAGTAAAATGAACTTCTCAGTACAACAGAGGTTGAAGCTGCTAACTTCTATAGTAGAAAATTGTAGAAGTGTTAGTAGGAATACTGTATGGAAATATTCTCAGTACCATTCATAGAGACTGAACAAAGTTTGAATAATTCCAGGAGTCTGTAAATGGTTCTGAACTTTCAATTAGCAAAGGTGAGGATACACAGCTTTTCCCTCCATCACTCTGTGTAGTGTAAATATAACTGTTGATTTCTGTCTGTTGTCAAGTCAAAATGTTTTAAAAAAATAAGTTTTTCAATTAATCAGTTTCTCAGTCTTTAGTCCTTTATTGGTGCATGTTTGGTCCACGAGTCAATACTGCAGAAAGAGACTTTTTGTGCATCATAAGGGCCAAATTCCACTGTTGCTCATGTCTGTGTGTTCATGTCCTCTCAGTCATCTGTCCTGCATCCTTTACTGCAACTCGTTCCTCAGCTAAATGAGAGAAGACTGAAGAGATACAAACTGGACGTACGTAAACTGAAACTCTGCATGCTTATGTTCTTACACTTTGTGATTCATTATCTGTTCCAAAAATGCCCTTGTAGACCTTTCTGCTTATACATTTTGGTTGGTCTACCCAAATCTTGATGTCACAGAATGTGCTTCAGGAAGGGTTATCTTGCTGTTATCTTTTTTCTTCCTCATACTAGGAAGAAAAACAGAACCTGCTGTACATAAACACATCCACCTCTCTCCCTGACTAGATAAGCAATTGAAAAGGTGGATGAGTGAAGGAGGAAACATGGTCTATTAAATTCATTCTTTCTCCCCAGTTTGAAACAGCGCCAGATTTTTTCACGGCTTTGATTCCTCTTGAGCCACAGCCTGCCTGATAGAATATGATCTGAGAAAGAAGAGTCAAGCATTATTTTGGCTAGTCAATATAGGAGACTGAGCAAAATACCTTCTAGAGGGCAGGCATTAAAATAAAACTCTAAGTAATCATACATCTTCATGAATACATATTTTTCTGTGTACATATATATATGCAGGTTTGTGAATAAACTTGATATTTATTGTGGCAGTTTTGGTTTTTTTTTTTACATCTCCAAACCCTTAGAAGTTTAGAAGGCAAGTGTTACAAAAATGACAGATTGTTAGCTTCAGCTGTTTACTAATACCAAACTTCTGACATGAACTCAAACAAGAACATGTAATCTTTAAGGAGAGTCTGGCTGTAAGAGGAAAATGACATTAACATAAATCACAATTTCTCACAAGTAATTTTACTCTTTCTGTTCTGGATGAATTTCTTAATCTTGCAACAGCTGCCTATTTTGTTCCTGTTTTCAGTTTTTTTCACACATTGAATAGAAAAAGTAGAAAATATTACATATGAATACCATAAGACTCAAATGGCAATGTACAGAAAAATTTTTACCCTTTTGAAATATAAAAAATTATAGTAGTGATCAGATTATAAATCCAAGATGGTTGTTTCAAATGCAGATAATGCTAGAATGAGAAGAATAATAGAAATAAAAATAATACAGATGTTTCATGTGCAGTAAGAAACTGAATACAATGCTATATGTGATGAATTGAAGTCAGAATTAAAATTAAGACTCAGAAATTATGTATCGTTTAAACTCCACTTCCTTTGAAAGCTTCCCTGGATTGAATCTACTTCTGTAGTTTGGAAATGATTGGAATCATCCTGTTTTACACAATTCTCACAGCATTAGCAGAGAGCAGGTGTGATTCCTTTCTATGACACTTCACCTTATGATATTTACCCAGGAGATCACAGCACCCCAGTTTTTACTTGAGAAATACTCCCACTGCTAAATAAAAGCCATCTTCATTTTAATGTTCTGGTAAGCATAACACTAAAATTATTTGGTTTCTTAAGTTTACTGTCTCCCCACCTGCAGGACAGACACATCACTTCTCTCTGATGCCAACAGAAGGAAATAAAACACTGTGATTAAGCTTATGTGTTCTCTAATCATGAAGGTCTCATTAAAGCAACTGGATACTTTCTGCTTTGTACTTGTTACATTTAAATAGAATTTCTACTTTCTTCACTATTTGTAAGCCTCCTTGCTATGTGGATCACTGGGCAGCTGTTTCACCCTGTGTGCAGCATGGACAGGAGGGACTATCACAAGTACTGCTCTTTGGGAGTTAATGTGAGAGGGGTGGTTATGGCACATCTTTGGGAACAGTCTGGGTCTCATTCCTGGGAGAAGCCCAAGTATTTCTGATATTTAAACTTTGTATTTTTGTCCTCCTGCAAGATGCAAAAAGCAACTCTATCTGTAGAGCTGCTGTCATGAAGACACTCTTGTCGTGCCTGGGTAGTGAACCCTGGAAAATCAGAGGCAAAGGCTGTTCCTCAATTCAGTTCCTCATTGCTGTACCATTCAGAAGCAATCTGAGCTGATCTAAAACTTCAGGTGGAATTTGGCTCCATTCATACGTTCTCTTCCATTTCTACATGACAACATAAACTGTGTTAATGACATGGGGAAATGCACATGAAGCATTTAAGGAGTAAAAGTGTACGTAGTACTGAAGAAATATTTTATATATGTATATAAACAACCTCTCTGTATGTATTAATTTACAGCTGTAGCTATAATTTAAAATACTTTTTTCTTCAGGAAGAACTTCAAGGACCTGGAATGATTCAAAGCAGAGGCTACTTCTTCTACAGGGTATGGTTTGTTTATTTTTTTTTCTTTTTGTTTTGTAGTGAGAGTTAAAAAAAACTGTGATTAAGGATTAAGTTAGACCATTCCACCCTATAGGACATCTCCATGTCTGCTCCTGACATTTCCTTGTATTATAATAAAGGCATTGTAGGAATTTTTTCAAAATCATATTCCTAGGTTTGTGTATACATGATACCATTCTATGCCTTAAGAAGTCATTGGTTATTTTGTACCTATTTGTCAGAGAAAGTTCTAGAAAATATGGCATCTTGGAAAATCTTCATAAAGCATTGTTCAGCAGGGTGTGTTTGCACATGACATGAATATGATTCCACATTACACACTATGCTAGGTCTGACCTTGCCATTTTCCTTCTGTTTTGACCAGTAAGGTAAGAAATTAGATACAGAAATTCTCATGAGACTGAATCTACTGTGTTCATCTTTTGCACCATAGAGCCTTTTTACTTCACTTTAGCAAAATTGAGAAGGTGGCAAGTCAAAATTTCTGGCATTTCTACTTAAATAAGAAAGTGGCTGATGGCTTTAAATAAAAGTGTGGCTAGGGTTGTACTCAATGATCCTAAAGGCCTTTTTGCAAACTAAATTATTCTATAATTCAAATGAAAAGACCAGAGATTTGTATAGTTACACTTCTTATATATCAGGCTTGGATCCTTAGAGTTGTTATGACAGGCCAAAGTTAGGGGTAACATTAATATTGGTGCATTCTTGCTTCCAGAGTAAAAGACAAATCCTTATTAAGCCCAGGAAGAAATTTTTATCAGCTTTAGTAGAGATTGTATCAAGTCCTTCACTAGTGCAAAATATTTCTGAAAAACACTACAGTGAAAATAGAAAAAGTCCTTGCCTACATCAAATAATACAGTCTAAAAAGAAAATCATTGAGAGTGACATGTATTTGCTTGTTAATAGCAACAAGCACTTATAATGAAATAATTACAACAATCAGAAAACACATTTTAAGAAAATGCAAAAAGAATAAGGGTTAATGATCTCTTGAAATGACCTCTTATGGCTTTCTCCCCCTTATAAAATCATACAAGATAGAAAATTCATTCCTCAATCGATATGCAGTAAATTTTAGTGTATAATTCTCCTCCAGAGGAAGATACAGATTAAGCCATAACTTATCTTAGGTCCATCTTTGATAATAATCACAATGACACTACTGAGAAATTCTCTAATTTGTTTGGGGCTTTGTTACTAAATTCTGTCAGTTTTACAGAATATATAACTTACTGAATATTTGTCTTTCAGCCACGTAATGGAAGGAGATCAGTGGGTTTTCGCTAAGGAGGTATTTATTTAATGCTTTTGATCATGATCTACATGTAAATTAGTTCATTTTTATCCAAATAGACCACAATATTTTTGTTGAGAAGTTGTCTCAGAAAGCCTTTAGCTGTGTAATCAGCTTAGATTTCCACCCACAAACTTTTCCTAGATGTGTTAAATACACTTGGATGTGTTAATTACACTTATCTTCGAAGTGAACAGAAGCTGCAGGTATTCAGTTCCCAGAACAAAGAGCACAGAGGTGTTTCAGGCAGCAAGAAATGGAAAATATCCCACATTTGTAAACAATTTGGAAATACTAATGATGACAAGTGAATCTAAGAAAGAACTGAGTCAACTACCTGTCAAAAGAGTGCTGAGAAGTAAACTGACATCCTGAAGGTAATTCCCTAATCTCACAAAGATAAAAAACTCATACTGAAACTGAGTGCAAACTTCAGGATTTAATTTCAATGCCTGCAACTATTTGGAGAAATGTAAAAATGGAGACCAATACCATGTATTTTCTAATGTATTTTATTCTGCCATCATTTTAAAGTGTTATATCAACAGCTAATGCTGTATCTTATTTTTCAGGATTATGGATTCCTGACTTAGAACTAAAACTGCAAGAATGCTGAGTACATGGACATACTGTTTTCCTTACAATAATTATTCATTATTAATGTACAATTAGAAATCACTTGAATGTAAATATTCTTAAACCAGATTCTGTTAAGGTCTTTACTATCTTGATTATATTAAAAGCATATTAAAATTCTTTGTTTCCTAGTGTTATGATGTTTACAACCACATGTAATTCAACTGTAAAAGAGTCAGTGCTTGCACACAACAGACATTGCCTCTAACAACCCTGTTAAGGAAATTTCCCCTTCTAAATAAAGGCCCTCAGCCAGACAGTGTTTTAATGAGAATGTTTGCAATCAAGACTACTGTGTTTGTTCCAGAATATGTTGTGACTTGTGTGGTTACCATCTGAAAAAAAAAAAAGATAATCCCTTTTCCCTTAATAAAAGGAACCTAAACAAGTTGCATGTTTTGAAGAAATATTGTGACTTTAATTCAACTAAAATATAATGGCATGCTTTTTTAGCTATTAAGAACACAGATGCACTATGATTCTCATTTAGAAGAAGACTTAATTGCAACTGGGACCACAATTCACTTGAAAACTCAAGTGCTTTTGATGGACACTGAAAGAAACTCTACTCAGAAATACAAGTTAGCCTTACAATCTTCCCATTTTATCTCTCCAAGTTTATTTTCACACCACAATTGTGTTAAATTATGTTGTTGAGGTTGTAATTATACTGAAAGTAACTAATCACTCAGAATTGGATGATCTTTAAGTCCCTTCCAACCCAAACCATTCTGTGCTTCTATGACTCAGTTTAGAAGTGGGCTAAAGTTTTAACATTGTATTGGCTGGTCATGGTTTGAATTGGCCTCAGCATTACTACTACTTCTGCACTGAGCAATAAAACTTCAGAAGGTAGTTGGAAAAATATGGCCTCAGAGGAGGCCAAATTAAGACCTTTTCCTCTTCTTGCCCACTTGTTTTTGCTCTGCATTTTAATAATTAACACTTGTTATAACAAAATTTGTTCAATATTCATGGTTTAATTTTAATGATTTTCACTTAGTTATTTCAAAAAGGATCCTGAATTAAACATACAATGCAGATAGTGACAAGTGGTATGACATCTAACATGTACAGATAACGAACTTAAATAATTTCATAAAGAAGCCAGTCAGTCTAAGGAAGATTACCATTCTGAATTATTAGTAGCAATCCACCCCTGTATTTCTGTATTTTCCTGTATAGTTATAATTAAATAAAGTCCTTTTTGTTCCCTCTCTCTTACCCAGAGTTATGACAAATTTAACTAATTTCTGAAATAAATGCATATTTTTCTTTCATTAGTTCTACATTACATCTGCTTATTACTTTTCATACATTTAAAATGTTTGGTGACTCTGGAGAACAAAAGGTGGACTTCTTTTGTTTGTTTGTTTTTTTGGTTTGGGTTTTTTGTGTATCTAGTGAAACCATATGAATGAATGAATCTTGAAGAACTAAAGGGAGCTGAAGTTGGCTTTGATGAGACTGATAAGAAAGCTATTGATATGTACAGGTGTAGTGAGAGATATCCATCCAGATTAGCAGTGCACATGTCACTATTTTACATGCTCCTAAAAAATAAACTCAGAATATTTTGGATAGTAATATCTGCTGACTCATACAACCACCTTTTTCTACTTTCTCCTCTTTTGACATCAGATAGAACCCACATTACTGTCCTACTTCTTCCTGACTCCCAGTGGCACAAAGAAACAGTTTACATCATATTTTGCTTTGGTGTTCTCTTAGGGCAAAATTCCTTACTCTGATAGCTGGATATTTAAAAGACACTGTTGAACAGGCCACAGTGGAAAGCACTGTTACACATCCTCAGCTGAGCTGAAGATGCATTGGGCCATGGTGTGTTTGGTGCTGTGCTATATTTGAAGTGTTACAGTCTCAACATTTGTCCCAGTTACACGAGTAGGGCTCATTCTCTTTCTGCCTGATTAAAGGGTTCCCCTCACTCTGCCACAGCAAAGACGACTCTGCACAGTAAAGACACTTTCTGCTAGTCTTCAGACTTTGTGCAATGATGATAAATGTTCAGGTAAAGAAGTTCTGAATCCCATTTTCTCCCTCCTGTTTTGGATAGAGTTTTATGTGCATTTCAAGCCAGAAAGAATGGACAATTGGTTGTGGGTATCCCTTTTCTCTCGTGTGCACAAGAAAAACAGGAAAAACAGTATTTTGTGGCTTCAGTTTTGTGATAGATAATGTTTTTCATATGGGGTACTTGCCACCTATATGAGGATGGCATGCCATTAAAGAAGAAAACTGTATTTTAGTGCTGGAATCAAACTGTTCAGAATTTTTAATTGATTAAGTAATTAATTTGACTATTATGAGCAGAATACATTTCTTCTTCTAGCATAGCACTCATTTCCAGTACAATATGGTTTCTAAATATATTACTGTAATAAAAATGCAATTTATTATGAATTACTATAATAATTACTATAGTTTCACTATATCATACATTAAAATTTTTGTGCTGTAGTGGTGGTAGCTGCAGAACCACAGCATCACAGAATGGGGCAGTCTGGGTGAGAAAACAGTGGGTCATAGGTCCAACACCCCTGCTCCAGCAGGGTCATTCCAGAGCCCATGGCACAGGATTGCATCCAGCCAGTTCTTGACTATCTCCAGTGAGGGAGACTTCACAACCTCTCTGGGCAACCTGTTGCAGGGCACAGCCAGCCACAGAGTAAAGAAGTTCTTCCTCATATTCCAGTGGAACTTCCTGTGCATCTGTTTCTGCCCAGCCTATCTTCTGCTATTGCTTGGCACCCCTGACAAGAATTTGGCTTGGCTCCATCCTCTGACATCCTCCCTGCAAATACTTACATTGATGAGGTCCTGTCAACAGGTCCCCTCTCAGTTTTCTCTTCTTGAGGCTGAACAGGCCCATTCCCTTCAGTCTTTCCTTATAAGAGAGATGCCCCAGACTATAAACTCCTGTGGTTTTAAAAGCCAGCTGTGAATCCCTAATAAACAGCTATTGTGTTTGGTTTGCCTCTTATTCAAAGTAGATTTTAATGACTTTTCTATTTCTTACCTCAGGAAAATGTTCATTTAAAGTTTACATTGAAGGAAGGCTCAGGGGAGACCTAATCAAGTGTATAAGTACCTGAATGGAGAGTATAAAGCAAACAGAGCCAGGGTGTTTCCAGTGGTGCCCCATGACAGGACCAGAGGACATGGGCACAAACTGAAATGCTGGAGGTTTCTTCAGAATGCCAGAAAACTCTTTTTTACTGTGAGGGAGAACAACTGAAATGTTGCATAGTCTTCTTCCTTGGTGTTGTTCAGAAGCTGTCTGGACATGGCTCTGGACAGCCTGCCCAAGGTTGATGATACTTGAGCTGGAGGGTTGAATCAGGTGACCTCTCTTCCAAGCCCAGCCAGGCTACAATTCTGGAAATCTGTGATACACAGCACACTGTTCTTAGGCACAACTGGGACACAATCAACCTTATTCAACTATTTAATAGGACTACACCAATCATTTTGCTTACAGTGCCATAGAGAGTCAATGTGCTTATGAATTTGGGTTCAGAAAACTTTGGCACCTTGTATCAACTTCAGCAATTGTTGCTTTATGAGACATTCACGTGTATATTTTTGTACATATTTTACAAGTTACTCTGCTGAGTTCTGCCCAACATTGTATTGTAACTAAGAAAAATGAGGCATGCAGTTTACACAATATAAAGAAGCTAATGTAATCAAAACATTTTCTCTATCTAGATTCTACCTGTACTTACTGCTGTTGAATTGTTAAAATGACTAAAATAATTCTAGGACTAACACAGTGTATCTGGTAATATACTCTCAGAGAAAGAAAATAATTCACATAAATATGTGGAAATTGTGAACCAAAACTATGATGTACTGTTGCTAGAGTATAATAGCATTGTACATTTATTATTTATTTTAATTTTCTTTTTGTGAAAAGTAATTCCACAGCGGCTTTCAGTTAATTAATAGCTGCTTTTAGTTCGTCAAGTTTCAGTAAAACATTTTCCTTTTCTACCTTGCAAGTATTTTTATAGACGAAGACTGCCATCTACTGATTTTACATTTCAGCTTTCCTTAATTATTTTAAAACTGTCTGGTAAATACTAGTATAAGTACTGTAATCCCTCCTTAAACTAATCTCATATTCAGAATCACACAAATATTTAGTACCTGCTCTAATTTTTTCTTGCTTCATCTCAAATTATAAATGCTTGTACAATTTGTTTGTTACTCAAGTTTCCCAAATCTGATATTGATGAATTAAGAAAATTAATTTTAATGTTATATTATTGAATAAAGATTGGCATAGATATCATTCTAGCTCTAAAATTTTAAGACCAACAGCTCAAGAGTTACTCAAATAATTTAAGTAACTGAGATGCACTAGACATGCTTTTAAAATGCATGTTAAATGTTCCAAAGATGCTTATTATTATTTTTACTTTCTAATTAGGCAGCAACACTTCCAGGAACGGAAACGTCTTCAGAGGAGGCAAAAGTATGCTATGCAAAAGCAGCTAAGAGAAAGTTGTGGAAAGCACTATGCAAAAGAAGCATAGAAATGCTCCAGAGGATGTTTAGGTTATAATTAACCTTTATTGGTCAAGGTAATTACATTCTTGCATAAGATGCAGAATACTTCAATACAAAGAACTGAACTGGAAATTAAAAAAAATATATAGAAAAATTAAATATAAAAGACTAATGAGATAGCAATTTTTTTTAAGCAATGGAATCATAGAGCATCTGACCTACTTGATTTGTTAATTCACTTTGTGAGAGTTAATTGTTCACTTTTGTTCAAACACATGAAAGACTTATTTTGCTGTGCATGCTTATCACCATGTGTGCAACCTTACTGAGATCTCTGGGTTTCACTAAGAAAGTGGTGTCCACTGTTTGCAGGTTCTTTTCTCAGCAGGAGTGGTCTAACAAGATTATTCTACCTTTATTTCCCCTTTGACTTGAACAAATCAAAAGCCTCTCAGAAAAAGTCTCAGTTATGCAAACTGAGGAAATCTTGTTAGTTTATCCACTGCCCTTAAATTCTCTAATGGTAGCAGAAGTTGTGACAGGATGCGGCAGAAATGTCAAAGGACTCCCATGATTAGCTCTGTGTATGTTAGCAATTCTATTAGATGTTTTTGGAAAGCACTGAGAATTAGTATAGAATGTTTAATCATTTTTTAGATTCAGACAAGTTTTCTCTTTTCCTCCTTTTCAAATTTTTTTGGGAGGGAGTTTCTTCTCAATTGTCAGGAATCAAATATTTTTTCCAGGAGCAAAAGGAATAGGACAACCAAGTGAAATTGTTAGAATTATAGTAATTTAAATTTCAAGATTTGAAGAGAGAAAATAGGGGCCTTTCTTAATTTTAATTTAATTTGCATAATGGAGAAGCAATTCTGTATTTTACCACTGCATAAATAAAAACCTCTGAGGAAACTTGTAATCCCTTAGGAATGAGTATGAGTATCCCCAAAATCTCTCATCACTATTAACAAAACTGGCTCACCTGCCTTTGACCTCCAAGGTCCACAGGCCATACCAGCTGATTTAACTTCAGTCAGATACAAAAGATCCTAATTGCTCAAAGGGCTGGAGGGGAATGAGAAAAATTCTTGGTTTTGTTGTTTTCTGTATCTGTGTTTTCTTCATCCATTGGTTGGTTTTTGGGATTTATATAGATTGTATTTTAAATAGTAACTATGAAAATAATGAACATGGTAAGGCATAGTAAAAATAAAAGTATACAAAGATTTCCCTGATGTTACTTAAGGAGTGAAGTATTTAATGTTAAACTAAGATCTAGTTTAAATAAAGTAAAATGTATGTTACAGATTCAAAACTGTCATTTAAACTCTACAATGGACAAAATCAGTTTTAAAAACTTAGTAAGGAATGAAACTGAGGCACAGTGCTTGAAGTGTCTGGTAACTTTACTAACATATTCTGTTTACAGTACTGCCATGTATTTTTTAATTCAACAGCTCTTTAAATCACAATGATCTAGGAAGAAGCTAAATAAAATTTGTCCTGCAATTCTTATAACATATTAAAGTAGAAGTAGACTATAGGAAAAGGTACTTGTGTTCTTCAAATGCTTTAATAACTTCAGTTATTTTACAAATAATTTACACTAGAAGTGTCATTATATTTCCTTATTCTTTTCTAGTACCCCAGTGTGTTTACTGGTTAATGAACACCTCAACCTGCTGGCCTGAAAGTTTCCAGAAGGCAAGTTTCTCAAAGCCATTGTAAACTGCTGCTTTCAGAATTCCAAGGACAGGTGTTTACCCACAATACTTGTATATAAACTAGTGAAATACAAGGCAGGTTCATTGGGATAGCTAAACATGTGGGAAGATATCTGAAAACAGAAAGCACTAGGAATGTTTCTAAATAATTTACATTATGAAAAATTCTACGTTGTTTGTAATCATTGGATCTAAAGGCCACTTTTTAAAGGATGAAAAGGTATTTGATTATTTTTGAAGGGAAAGAAGGATCTGAAAAAAAGGCCAAGAATTTGTATAGAATTTGTGTAATTCTGTGGTGAGGATATTGCCTAAGCATGGGTATTTTGCAATTCCATGGTAAGATATTTTATTGAGATAAAAACATGTATTGCTTGAAAAAAAATTAAGATCACATGTTCTGACATAAGTTAGTTCAAATACGGTTTTCTACTCCTTTGGTAAGCCTACTGGGAGATACCTACTGGCAGATACCACTGCTGGAAGCTTTTATTTTCCAGATTCAGGGATAACTAGTAGATGCATTTCAGAGACAATGCCTTATCTGCTGTTATCTGCCACTTCAAACTAGAACACTAGTAGTTTTAAATGCAAATAGGTCATCAGGGACTTTAGATGCGATGGCAGAGTCCCTTCAAGTATCAAAGCTGGCTGCTATAAGAGCAGCATTGCTTCCTCTCAGCAGCGAGCCTAAGCCTCCCTCCCACGTCTGTGGCTGCTGCAAGGGACACACGCACAGGGTGTGACAGTGGGAGCGACAGGGAAAGAGCCAAACCTCCCCTTTGGTGCCCCTGTCTTTGTCCAAGCAAAGTGACCACATGGTTGTAATTAAAGCCATCAGATGTGACAAAGCAGCAGCAAAATCCAAGCTAATCTGCGGGTTAAAACCAGATGTTTCTGGTGTGGAGTCAGTTACACTGTTTGGAAGAAAAGGCTTCAGGAATATTAGCCAACCTTGCTTTGCAAGGATTATGTGGATTGTGACAGGCTTTCAAGTCAACATCCACTCATTTTAGTATTTTGGAGTGATGTGAAATTTAGTTTCAATACTAGATTCCTCAAACAGACCCTCCTTTGAACAGGCCAGCGTGGATCAAAAAGGAACACACTGAGCAGGTGGTCGTTCTGTGGCTCTGAAATACATTGTGCAGGATGGCAATGGCATTTCTCTAGGAAACATGGCTATAGTTAATGGAAGTGCATTGGAAATTTCTGCATTTCCAGCTCAATGCAGTCCCACCATTCACCAATTCACAAAAGATCTGCTGCTCCCAATCTGGCATTGTTTAAAAGGTGTGCTGGCTCTCACATAGCCCGTGTGAGTGAATCAGAACTATCATTACACAGCAAAGCCACACTGATGACAAGAACAGAGCAATAGTATTTCTAGGAGAACAGTTTCATAAACCATCACATCATCTCTAAGCTGTCCTGTTCCTTCAGGATCCTACAAAATAGTGCCAAAAGAGAAGTAGCATTAAAAACATGACCTCGCTTATGCCACAGCTTTGGCAGAAAATGCAAATGTGTATTATCTCCACAGCTGTGTTGCCTGTCCTGATCTTGTCAAAGAACAATTTGTCACTGCAACATTGCAGTAAGTAAGTGTTATGCTCCTATTCATGCAAGGTGTGAGATAGTGCAGCATCCCTACTTTTTCTGAAGAATTATCACTGGTTACTAAAGATCTTCTGGCAAATTTGATAGAAGCTATTTGTAGCCTCCTGGTTTCTTTGCCATATTCTCGTTCTGATAATTAGGGGTTTTTTTTGGAAAATAGTCCCACATTTTCTCCTGGACGTTCCATTCCTGCTGTACCCTATTAGCTCTACCACATTTCATCAAAAGAGATAGTATTATTCACTTTCCTTATGTTACATTTTCTTCAACTAACAGCTGGAATTGGAGTATTATGAATAAGTAACAAAAATAAATATTTTTACTAATGCTTTTCAGAATTCTTTCAGTGGAAAAGCTCATGGTTAGCTCTTTGGGAGCACTACTGGTAAAGAAGCTCCTGACCCTACAGTATCTTTTCCTAAGGCTTTGGTCACAATTGTGAATCAAATGGGGAAACTGAACTACCTGAAAATTAACCCAGAAAGGAAATCCATGACAATTTGCAGTCAAGTTCTTTATTTTGTTCTAGACGCAAACACGAATTAAACTTCTATAGATACTTTTAGATACATTGCTACTCAGGTATCAACTGAAAAATACAATCCTTTTAACTGAGCGAAAAAAATTGGGATTACTTTCACAATGTTACTTAGAATACACAATCCTGAGCATTTCATTTTACAGAAAACGGTTTGCTGCAATGCTCTGCTGCAGGCAATACAGTGTAATATATGGTAGAGATAATTCATGCTATATAGATAGATATATGTGTGTATAAAATATTGTGAAGGTCCAAAGTTATGCCTTTGACCACTCTGGCTGGGAGCAGAGCTCTATTCTCATTGTAACCAGTTCCCGGACAGCGTTAAAGTAATATCAGGTCTGTTACTGTATGAATGGGACAGTCCCGGACCATCATAGATGATTTCCCCTGGCATCTGCACCTGGGAGATCGCATCTAGACCTTCCTGGACCATGATTAATGGAATGTCTCAAGGAACTCACAAGACCTGCACCTGGGCATGATTACATGTGCGGTACTCAGGAACTGGTATCACTCTACTACATGTGAATAGAGCTTCTGCCTGGATACTCAGACATTCCTCTGAGTCTATAGATTCATTCGTCTTTGTCTGTTCCTGCACATGTATGGACCCCGCTCTGCATGTGAAGAGACACAAAGAAACGTGTGGTCACCTCTGCCTCAGGCAGAATAAACTGTATATAACCTGGCCGCTGGAAGCCATCGGCGTGAGCTCCTGGGGAAACGCTGTCACTTTGTCATTGGACCCTGGCTCACCCAGCACCTGCACCCGAAGCTGACGCTGTTCAGGCTGTGGTGGTTCTTTTTCGAAATTCTATTTTTTGTTATCAATCCAATAAATCTTTGTTAAATTTTTCATAGATTTGGCTACCGATTTGATCATTTATAACAACAGGATTAGGTTTAAATAGTCGCCGCATATTATCGAACGGTATTACAAGCCTCGTACACACAAAAGTGTTGAGGCAAACACGTCTGGTCTCTGCCGCTCTGGGAATTTCACCCGTTTAAGGACAGGAAAGAAACCACGGACCTCCGCTGGGACGGGTTCGTAGAACCCCTGAATACCCCGGGACGCATTTCCCAGAGAGGACTGGGGATGTCGCTTGTTGCGCTTTGGGAACGCGCGTGCGACAGCGTTCCGTGCCGGGTTCATCGTGCCGGTGGAGAAGAGTCTCCGTTCAGCGGGGCCCCCTCCGCAGGTTCGGCTGGCGGCTCTGCGCCTGCAGCCCGGTGCCCGCTGATCTCGCTCGGAGCCCGGCTGCCCGCAGATTCCCGTCGCAACCCGGCTGGCCGGTGACCCGGTCGCGGCTCGGCGCCGCCGCCATTTCCCGCGGCCCGGGGTGAGGTGAGGCGAGGTGAGCCGAGGTCAGGGAGGCGCGCGCCCACCGCGCCTGCGCAGCGCACGCAGCCCTCCCCCTCCCCCCTGCGCAGGCGCGGCGAGGCGCGCTCGCGGAGCGGGGATCACCTCCCCGGTGTGCCGTTCGTGCGCACGCGCGGCGGCGGCGGCGGCCCCGGGGTGCCGCGGGTTGCAGTGTGCGCCGGCGCACGCGCGGTGGCGCGAGGCGCCGCGGCGGCCGGCGGCGGTGGGGGCTCGGCGGCGCAGGCGCAGTGGTGTCGGGGGGACTCCCGGGCCCGGGTGCTGCTGTGCCGCCGCCGCCGCCGGAGGAGCAGGAGCGGGAGGTTCAGTCGGGCAGTGCCGGCGGGCGGCGGGCGCGGGGCTGCGCGCGGGGAGCGGCGCTCGCCGGGGCAGCGCGGGCGGGCAGAGGCAGCGCGGGGCCAGGTGAGCAGCGATCGCGGCGCGGGGCGGTGCGGGCGGACCCGCCGGGCCCCGGTGTGCGGTGGCGAGGGGAAGGCGGGGACGCGGCGCGGAGGGGAGCGGTGGAAGTTTGACAGCTCCGGCGTGTGTCTCCCGCCGCGGACCGGGGGGGCGGGAGTGCAGTGGCTGCCCTTGGGCGGGCACGGCCGCGGCCGGGGGCGGGGGGCGCTCGCGGGGCACCCGCTAGGCCCGGTGACCCACTTTGCTCCTGTCACAACTCCCGGGCGCGTCGGGAGCGCTGCCCGCCTGGCCCCGCGCCCGCCAACCGGGCAGGCCGGGCGCAGGACTCCGCGGCATCCCCCGGGCCGGGCCGCGTCGGACCGAGCAGAGCCGCGGGCGGCACCTCCCCTCGCGGCCGCCGCTCCCCGGGGCGACTCGTCCCGCGGCCGCCGGGGGGACGCGCCCGGCCCGCCGCCCCACGCGCGGGGGAGGTTTCCGCGGCGGCCCTGCGAGCGCGGGTGTTTACACGGCGGGAGGGCGGCGGTCGGTGCCCGCTCGGCCCCGGGCCCTCCCCGCGGCGGGACAGCTCTCAGCTCTGCGGGGCCTCGGGCTCCGGCGGCGGCGGGAGCGTGCCCCGCGCTCTCCCTGCGGCAGGTGGGCTGGAGCTGCGGGGTTGCGTATGCACTTGTAGGCTTTTTTAACCCACCTCCTCCCCCTTTTTTTTTAAATTTTTTTTGGTTCCGATAACTTTATTGCTATAACTGCAGCCTGTTCACTCTCGTAAAACGTGCGGGATTCTCAGTAGCCCCGGTCCGTTTTCGAGTTCCTACGGCCTTAAAGTCAGTGTGTTAAATACTCCGTGCATGCAGGTGTGAAATACGACCAGCGAGGGACTGGAAATCCGTGGTACTTCAATTTTGTGTTTGGGTTAAGGTGGATCAGGATTTTTGGTTGGTTTCACTTTCAAATTCCAGATACTTTAGGCCTCGATATAAATTTGAAATGTTTTTTTTTCCATGAGGAGGAGTGCTTATGAACTAATCAAACATGTTTGCAGTGAGATTTTTGTGAGGCCGTTGTTTTCATGTGCTGATAAGAGTTAACCTACCAAGAGGCACAGGGAAAGTCAGGTATGGCTTTGGCTGGAATATGAAACTGCATGTAGAGGCACAGTGGCCAGTCATAGAAGCTGATGCTCTGAATCCTTAAAGTAGGTTTTTGTTTTTTTTTTTTTTAATGACTGGTTGACAAACAGTGCTTTTGGTGGCAGTATTGACTTGACCTGGCCTGCCTCTTCCTTGCTGCAGCTGCACCAGCACAACGGTTCGTGGAATTGTGTCCCATAACTAGCTTGAGGAAATGATCCAGGTTAAAATTAACTACCATGGTTTTATGTTTTTGTTTTTTTCTTTTTAATGTGGTTATATTTAACCTGTATAATTTCTCTGGCTAACAGGTGTGACAGGAGGCAAGAGGATTGTTTAAGCAAATACCCTAGAGAAAGAAGTACTTGAGAAATACACCTCGACTGTGGTAGTCCTGGCAAAGTTCAGTATGAGCAGTTGCAGTTGTTTCACAATGTTCAGTTTTACAGAAATAATATTGACTTTGTTTATAAATATCTATGGGGTTTGGGCCTGTTATTTGAAATTGGACAGCATTTGATTGTTGTAGCAGAGGGATTCTACTTGAAAGTAACTCTGCTGTTAATTGTTTTTTATAAATTAAAATATTAATTTTCATATGTATCCACTTAAGACACTTCCTCAAACTCATTATAGACATGTTTTCAAATTACCAGACATAATGTATTTGGTTTAGGTTCCTTTTGTAGAATATGGCAACTTTGTCTGAGAATTTTGTTGGTAAGGCAAGGGTTACTGCTTCTTAACAAGCAATTCAAACAGGGAAAAAACCCTCAAACTTCCGGGTTGATATTTAATAGTTTAAGGTGCCATTCAGCCATGCCTTGTTTTTTATTTCTTCCGCTTCATGTTCTTGCATGGGAAAGTTTTAACACATTTAGGCAAAATAAAAGAATGTGAGGAGAGCAGTGTGTTTTTGTTACTAATGCTCTCCTAAGGACCCCCAAACCTCTGCTGTAGGTTACTTTAGTCTCTTTGTACTAAGCACTTTAAAAACTGAGTGGTAATTACCTTAAATTTAATTTGCAGTGTTGGTTAATTAGCTTCTTAGTATAGAATTTCACAGAAGTCATGAATCTTTGTGGTTGAATTGGTCTTGCAAGAGAAATTGCAGCTTTTAAGAGCTTTGAACTTTTGCTTTTTCCCCTCCCTATTTTAAATTTCTGCACAAAGTTTAATATTAAATGTGAGTTGATATTAAATAGCAGTAGAGGTATTGCCCCCCACCTTCTCCATATGTTCTTTATATGAAATATTTTTATCAACTTGGAAAGTTGTGAATTTTTTATTAAAAATGAATAAACTTGTATTGAAAATAGTTGTGAATCAAAAATGCAGTTTGCTGCACTAGGTAATTTCCTCATTTGGAAGCAGCTCCTTTATCTATGCTTTTCTTCAGGAGACACATATAATTTGTTGTCAGTGCCTCATGGTTTCAGCTTAGTTTTATAGATGAAGACTATGGATAGCTCTCCTCTTAAAGTAGAAAATTAGTATCCTAATACAGTTTTAAATTCAAAATATAGTTCAGAAGAAGGGGAATTACAGCTGAAACGTGCCTTTTCATCACATTGTCATGAGTTATTTTTTCTCGAGGCAAAGGCTTTGGTAGATCTCTGAAGTAAAGAAAAGTTCATTTTAGTGTTTCAGTCTTTTTAAAGTACTAGCTTCTTTATGAGCACTGCAAACTGTGAAGGCCAAATGTGAAAGCAGGTGTAGAACTGTTCCTGAAGATTGGTGATGTTAGTAGGTAGTGGCATAGCAAAGTCAGTAGTGATTGTTCCTGCCATTCTTACTTTCTGTTTATTTACTTTGCAAGGTATTTTTAACCTTTCAGTGTTAGTGAACTGGTTCACCACTGAAGGGGTGGCACAAGACCAGGAGAGTCACCAGGCTGTTGGGAGAACAGTGGCTGTTTTACAGTAGCTTTATCTCCTGAGGCAAAAAAAGTGTGAGACTACAGATAGTCACCAAACCATTCAACTGTTTCTCTCATCTTAAGCTTACACTGAATTATTGTTAGTAGCATTGATATTATTATTTTGGATTTAGTGGTCTTTCAGAATAAAAAGACGTGTTGGAAGCACATCTTCATTCCTGTAGCAGAATCTGAAATGAAAAATCTCAGTGTCTCTCTGTAACTCTGGCACAAGCAAATTTGGGCAGATCTGTTAGGAAGGTACCTCTTTGACTTCTGTAGGTGGTCCATGTGGGGAAAGGAACTTACTAGGATCGTTGGTTATTTTGTTAACTCAGTGGGAATTTGTAATAATTTGAAACTCTGACACACGTTACACTGTTTATTTGTTGTAGGACTTAAAAGATGTGAAATGCAAAATCACAGAGGAGAAATAAGACTCAGGGTTAATGTAGCTGCCCTGAAGGGTTGAATTCTCTATCCCTACTGCTGCCACAAATGCCTTTGTCATGTAAAAGCCACTTTAATTTTGGTATGCCTCACCTCTGAGTGTTTTAATTTATAGTCTTAGTGTTCTCTTACCATACTTTTTGTGTGTATTATAAATTCTTTATTATAGCTACTTTTAGAATATATAGTCATATACATAAAATGCTTTGGTCCACTGTGGTTGTCATACATTTAATATAATGTGGAAATAACAAGGTTTCACAGATTCTTTCAACGGTTTAGAGCTGCACACTTTGGACTCTTTCCAACTGTTGCATTTTGTCATTAAAATCAGTGAGTAAATTTCCTTTCCATTCTGTACTGATGTTCTGAGTATATTATGAAATCATCATTAATAGTATTAATATTTTATTAAATATAGATCCTTAAAAATTAGTTATATATATGAGATTCAAAAGTGATAATAACATATTTGGAGTGTGATGCTTTTGAAGCTCAGTATATACTATGGGCATTCCTCATATTCATGATAAAAATGTAGCCAAATTAGCAATAGATGTGGCTACTTCAATGCTTTTTTGTTAAAACTATGTGTGTGATCATCTCAGAGTATGTGAGAAGGCTTCAGTTTTGAAGCTAATGTCATTTTACCAATAATGACAGCCTGGTACCACAAGAAAAGTGGTGTTAGATTATTATGCTGTTGTTAAAACACTTCTTGGAGTAAGACAGATCCAGTTAAAGTGGTTTTTTAAAATAAATACATGTGACATAATTATTCTATAGAGGTCTTTCTAGAGTTCCACTAAAAAGGATATTTGCAGGTACCTCTGAGATGGTTTTGGTTTATGTTAGATCCATAAAATAATATGGAGGAGTCAAAATTGATTTAGATGGGTTTTGTGTGTCTAGCTCCAAATAAAATTGATGTCTGTCTTAGAGGATTTCTAGGTTTTCACTAGTAAAGTTTTCCAAAGTTGAACACTGAAGTTTTGTTCTCATTCACATCTTCCAGAATCTTATCATAACCGAGCATCTTGGCATCTAAATCTGTTTACTATTCATAAATTAGGCAATCTGTAAATTAGGCCTTCACTTGTTCAAAGGCATGTTCAAACCACACCTCAGGCACACCTATGGAATTGGACTTGGACCAAAACCCTGTGGTGACTCTCCCTTTTGTTCAGAAGCACAAAGGAGTGAGGAGGAAGAGGCTTTGTTCATGTGTCCTGTAAAAAAAAAAGAAACGCCCAAAGTAAGCAACAAACCAACAAAACTCCAAAGCCTGGAACCTCACTTTTCCTTGCAGACAAATGATTGAAGTCTAATTGGGCTAAAGAGATATACTAGGCCAGTTGTTTTCTTGGAGGAAAAGGATATGATTTATATACCTATATTCTGGCCTGTGTTCCATTTAAAATTTTGAATGCCATTACAAACTAGGACTAGAATTACATCTCTTCTTTGCTGCCTTAGAGAGGCATGCATACTTCTGGTGCTGCTCTGTCCAG